ACCCGACACATGTGGTGTAATTATATTGGGCAATAGCGGCGTTGGTAAAAGTTTTATTGGCAATGTAATATTAAACGAAGAAGCATTTAAACATGCATATAAATCACATGCTGTTACAACCGAGACCGAATATGAAGAATGCAAAGTCGGTGAAGAAATTTATGCTATTTATAATATACCTGGTCTCATTGAAGCTGATCAGAATCGTGTCGATATTAATAAACGCGAAATTGGCATTTCATTTCAAAAGCACTCATATGCTGTTGTACTGTATGTTTTCGGAGATCAAAATGGCCGAATTCGTAATGAAGATGTTGTAGCATTTAACGCCATCAATAGTGCGTATCCTCTTAGTGAAAAATCCTTGATCATTATTGTTAACGGTGTCGATCCAGATCGACCAGCTGAGTATGATGATGAGACGACATCACATCTACAACAACTTCTCAAAATAGATTTCCCTAGCATCTGTTATGTTTCAAAAATGAAGACAACGCCACAAAAGCAAGCACTCCGCAAACAGTTAATAAAAACAATTACAGAAGCCAAACCAAAAACTCATAAGAAAGAACATGAAATTCATTTACAAGTAGATGAATTAGCAAAGTTAACAAAACAAATCAATGCATTTCAGCAACAGGTTGCAGCAGAGAGAGAACAAAATAAATTAGAAATGGAACGATTGAAAAAGGAATTTGATTTAAAACAACAACAACAAACTGAATTCGCTAGAAAATATGAAAAACAACAGGAGGAAGACAGAAGATCACGAGAGGAAGATCGACGCAGATATGAAAAACAATTGCGAGAAAGTAAAGACAACCAAAAGAGATTAGAAGATCAGTTAAACAATCAGAGAATACAAGCAGGTCAGTAGGTGATTAGATGCGACACAGCTTTAAAGTTACAACTATACATCGCTGTGAAACTTGACCGAGATATTTGTAGTTAAAACTTGACTGTGAAAAACTATCTTTTTCAGTAGCATTGAAAAATACAGAATTACGTGAACTTTAGGTTTCAAGATTCATAGTAGCAACCGTCATGGCTTTCATCGTTATGAGGAGAAAGCGATATCAACTTTTTTTGCCACTTACCTGATGTGTACATTTCTCCACTAAATTACAAAAAAATAGGTAAACATTTATGAAACATAGAATGTAAGATATGCTACATCTTGTAGCGATAGTTATGCAGATCATCTCATCCCTATATTTATTTTCGAAGCAATACAGGTTTAGTTTATTATGACTGTTATAGGGAATAGGAACTTTTTTATACATTTTTATTCCTTTTTTATCTAGTCACTACGATGATACCACCACGTATCCGTAGCCTATCAAGTACAAGAAGTTCATTGCCACAGAACAATCAAACACAATTATCTCGACGATTTAATGCATTACGTAAGTTTTCTGGAAAGTTTATGCGAATTTTGTTTAATAATTTAGAAATGGAAGGTATTTATTACCCCATTTAAGGCTTCCAATTTAAAAACGCTCATTTTCAAGTTTCTAAAAGACTTCATAAAACAATAGTCCAAAGCGTCCTCTTTCAGAATCTGTGCTCATTCGTGCAAGATTTAACTGTTAGGATCACTAAATTTCCGTTTTACTGGAAGCCCCAAATATTAGTCAAACAGAAAGTTTGCAGTAGATGTCACTCAAAATTAATCAGTTAGTGAGTTGACCACCGCAGACACATAGGTCAAAGTCTTCTTTTCAAAGTGATATGTTGATGACCGTGTGGCCAAGTTCCTGGACTGAGATATGACCTATTTACTGGAAGCCTCAATCGGACAACAAGATGACTCATTATTTGTTTATCTTGAAACCGTGTTTATCTTAAGATGTAAGTAGGCCCACAAAGGAGGAGGGCAGATAAGGCCATTTGCGGCCCCTCCCCTCAGATTTGAATTATTGCTATCAGTTATTAATCAGGGATCGTTCTTGATCACTTTGTTCAACTTTGTTTCGCGAAAATCGACATTGACGATTTTTTTTCCTGCGGTACCCCACAGGTATCATCGAAAACAAAATTTGTTTTTTCACGAGCCAAAGTCAGATGTAATTGTAGATCTAAGGGTACTGATTACGAATATCGTAGTTAGAAGTCTCAAAACTACTTTGCTCCCGAAGTAGCCGAGATCACTCGATTGATCCTATTTTTCGTTATTTGGGCCCTCATCGAATAATACACGATGAAATTGGGTGCAAAT